TATATATATACTTTTATATGTTTAATTAGTAAATACACTTTTCGCTCATTGGAATGGTGATTGTTCTGTTGCTACAAGCACTACAATCTTCTTTATTTATAACAGCTCTGATGATTATTCCTCTGCAAGAGGGTCATTGTACCGTCAGTTTATCAATTCATTCAGCAGTTACTCGATACCTTGCTTTGTTGCCACAGGAACACCAGTTGATCCTGGCTCATTACCATACAGGTGACCATATTTAAAAAATATTTATAAACTACTTTGCTATTGCTAATTTAATATAAGACAGACTGAGGTATAAATATAAGAAATACCATCGCTATATATAATTTTCTCATAATAAAAGATCCATTGATCAGGAAATTAATTACATCAGAAAGAAGTCTTTTATTAATGTGTTTATTATCAAAGAAGAAAATAAATATGTGGCAAAGACAAGCCAAACCAGTCACTTGTCGCAAAAAAATTGATTTTGAATTATTAATACAGCGTTAAAGAGTAAAATAAGAGCTGTAAATGGTAACAAAAAATCATTCAAATCTGACAATTTCCTTATGAAGTTACAAGCATTTAAACATACAGCTGTTTAAAAGAACAATATATGAGAAATCAGCCTTTAAAGTTTATGATTTCAGGCATTTCTCATGCAGAAACTATCATCAAATCCTTGTTTTAACTTTGGAAATGTAGATAACAACAGCATAGCATGATGTATAGATACATAAAGGTTAGTTAAGTGAAATAAAATAGATTTTTTTAAATTTTACATTCCAGCATGTTTTGGTCATTTTCTCTGAAACATGATTTGCGACGAGTTACTGGTTTGGCTTGTCTTTGCCACATATTACATCTTTGGTGAATTAAATTATTGTTATGTTTGAATGTAGTGTGCACAACACGCTGTACATGGAGGTGCATTGCCCGACTATCAAGCCACCGGTTGTTGTGATTTCAAACAGTGGGCGCACTGTTGTAGAGTTTGACGATGTCTCTATCGGCCAGCGAATCATCAAGTCGGTCACAATCCAGAACATCTCCAATGTTGTTCAGGACGTATCCTTTCATATATATATTTTTTTCTTATTTAATTGCCAATCCCTACTTGAATTTCAGTGACTATACCTATTTTTTTTCTTTTATTTAACAAACGAAAACATACGTAAAAAGTTTTAAGCAAGGAGTTTAAAATAGCAAGAGACTGTCTTGATTTTACATGCACAAGGAGAAAAAAGTACTACCGTGGAGATAGAAAAAAGAATCTTGTATCTTGTGGTGAAATTGTAACTATGTTGTGAATGTTAAACAAGTTTTTTTCCCTGGTCATTTGATAGCAAAAATCCTTATGAAGTTACAAACATTTAAACATACTGTACAGCTTAAATCTCTGTGTGATATTGGACCAATTGCTTACTTTCCACGAGCATATCAGTTCCATCTGCAAATCATCTAATTACTATCTTTGAAATATCTGCCAAATCAGCCTTGACAAAAACTCAGCTGAAACTCTTGTTCATGTTTCTATTTCGACAAAACTCGATTACTGCAATTCTCTTCTTTTTTGGCTGCCTTCTTCTTTTCTTTACCGGCTTAAAAAAATAAAAAATTCTGTACACTTAACGCCACGCCGTCATCATACTACTCCTGTAATCTTGGCCCTTAATTCGCTGCCCGTTAAACAGCGAATTGTTTTCAAGGTCCTCATTTTCACAAAGCTTTATTATTTTCTGCTCCATCTTATATCACCCAACTAGTTCCATGATATTTTCCAACTTGCCGCCTTCATTCTTCTGACAAATCATTGCTATCTGTTCCTTGTTTCCGTACTAAGACTTTACGGTGGTCATACTTCTTCTTGTGCAGCATCTTCTCTTTGGAACGAACTACCATCATTTGTTAAAGACTCGTCCTCCCTTGACTCTTTTAAAATAAACCTAAAGACTTATTTGTTCACTAAACCTCAGGGTACAATGTGCCTTTGATCATTTTTTTTGGAATTGGCGCAATATAAATGTTTGAGTGATTGATTGATTAAAAAGTTAGTGGCACAAATTGTGCAAATCTGTTATATTTGTGCATACATTTTATCTTAATTGTAAAATCCAGTTGAAGAGTAGTGTACTGGATACGTGTGGGCCGTTCCTGCTGCTGAATTCAATGAGGGGTCTAGCGCCAGATGCCACTCACACACTGCTCATTGCGTTTTCACCAATGCAAGCCAAAGTGGTAAGTAGACATTATTACTATACCTCAGGTGATTGGGACTAACTCCCGACACTACTTAACCTCAAATCATGTTGTGTTTGTATTCTACTAATAATATTGTACTCATTTTCAGTATAATCTAATTTGCTATCTTCTAGTCTAGCTGTGTTTCCGGAGGATATATTTTCTGTAAATTGCATGTTTTACATTTATCTTTGTGTTTTTTTTTCACTTATTTTTTTTAATGAAAAATTTTGATTATTATTATGAATTATAAACTGACATATTTGTATAAAATTAAACAAAGAGTTTTATAAGTATTATAAGTGAGTTAAATTTCATGTCAAGTTGTGAGTTAAATTTCATGTCATGTTGTGTTTGTATTCTACTAATAATATTGTACTAATTTTCAGTATAATCTATTTTGCTATCTTCTAGTCTAGCTGTGAAAAGATATATTTTCTGTAAATTGCATGTTTTAAATTTATCTTTGTGTTTTTTGTCGCTTTACTTTTATTTATGAAAATTTTTGATTATTATTATGATTTATAAACTGACATATTTATAAATCATATAAATCAGGCAAAATGGTAAGAGTTTTCTAAGTATTAAAAGTGACTTAAATTTCAATTAATTGTTTACTACAGTGTATTAATTATGTTAATTATGAAGAGATTTTTTCTATTGTCTTATGAAATATGGTATCATTGTTGTTTTTTTCATTCTATATTATTGCTATTGTTAATATTATTGCTATTGTTATTATTATTATTATTATTATTATTATTATTATTGGTTGTGCTTATATAGTGCATACTGCTAGAGCATCTTTGAACTTTCCAGAAAATTTCAAATAGTTATTACTACAGTTATGAACATATTGTGAGATTTATTATTAACTTATTGTTATTTATTGAACTATTTATTTATTTTTACTTACCGTATTTACTTTTACTTACTTTAATTATTTATTGTTATTTATTGAACTTACTTTTTGTGTGTTTGATTGTATTTTAATTAATCATTGCAGTATTATGAAGTGTTAAGCATCAAATGTGCTACTTCCACACTTGGCGTGTCATTAAATGGTCAGGGAGTTCAGCCATTGGTCAGTACATCCCTGAAGGATGGTGTTTTGGACATGGGATATGTTATAGTTGGAGAAGACACCACTGAGACATTTAAGGTATGAACATCCATCATATGCATTCAACTTTATTTTAGTTAAATAACAAAATCCTAATTTTCTTTTTGGCAGACAATTGACTATTAATTGCTTATATTTCACAAGGTTTTAAAAGTATTTTGTAAGTTTCTCTCCTACCACCTGTCTCTAATTATCAATTTTAAATTTCAGGTTTGTTTTTAAATAAATAAACTGAAGTAAAATATGGTAATAACGATTTAATGTTACTCTGACTATCAGTTGAGCAGATTAGTAGATTGTGGAATACATTAATCTAATTTCTGATGATATATTTGTATTAAAGGTTTTGACACACAGTTAGCTAATTGCTTGTTCTTTTTTTAAGTGCTTGTCCAGGACCATTAGGACATCCCAAAATATAAATAAAAAATTTCAATGCAAATTTGTATTTAATCATTTGCATTTTTAACATTTGTAATCCTAATTACCAAAAAAAAAAAAAAAAAATATTTGTACATTTTATCTTTATTTGCAAGTAATTAAAAGTATTAGTAAAATTTAGGAACTCAACCAAAATGTTCATAAATTTCAGATTGAGAACACATCCTCTTTGTCTGTGGATTATTGTATTCGGCTTGACAGCCTGTCACTTAACCGTCATGTGAATGAACAGGTGTTACCCTCTTTCATCAGGAAAAGTAACAATGTTGTTGGCACTGCCAATCTAACTGGCAGAAATGTCTTTGACTGTGTGCCATCAGAGGGGACATTGAAGCCAGGTAGGTATTATGAACTAATTTGCATGCAAAATTTGCATAATTTTTACATCTACATAAATTGTAATATTTACATGTCAGTACTGTCACTGTACTGTTGCTACCTCGTGTCTCTAGGTGTCCAACCAAAAATTCCAATTTCCAATATTTGGAATTTGGCAAAAAAGGAGAATATTAGTTTAATTTAATTTGTTTTTGTTTAATTGCTAATTAAAAGAGTAAAAGCTATTTTTCAAAATTTGCACCATTTAAGAAATGTTGTCAGCATGCTCTGGCAGTCTCTTGGTAGGTAAAGATAGGAGAATAACCCCATAATTACCATAATTTGCAGCGTCATTGTGCTTAATTGCGTATGGGTTTGGTCCGTGACTGCTTTACCGCCGTAGAGACACTTATGTTAGCTACTTGTTCACATCATTCCACAACAGGGGCTGAATGAACGCAGCAGCGGGTAAATCCCTACTCTACCGAAAGATGCAATAGATCCTTTAAAGTGCATACAAGCTAGATTCATACAGTGGACCTCATTTTAAGTTCTTACCTGAAAAGACTTGGTTCTACCCGACCACCAAACCCTTGGTGAGGAGTGGCTCAAACCAGCGCCTCTGTTAAGGCTCTAGTTAGCACCCCCTGTTGTCTACTCTAATCTCTTTTCCAATATAATCATCAATATACTTTAGGTACAGAACAAGAAATAGCTGTAAATTTCTCTCCCGACCACACCAGTAATTACTTCTCTGATTGTGCGCGAATTGAGTTGTACGGCAAGCATGAAGCCCATTCAATCTGTCTGAAAGGGCAGGCTTACCCTCACACCATGTACGTGACTGGTGGAGATGATATCGACACTGCTGTAGAGTCTCTAGCAGTTGTACCTCAACTTGAGGAGGAAGAAGGTAGGCAGCAGCTTAGGGCTTGTGAAATGTATTATTATCATTTATTTTGTTTACATTTTCTACTATTTTGTGGTTTAGTGGGGCAACGAATAAAGATAAGACTGAACTTCAGTGCATTGTTTAAGTGCGCATCACAAATATCTGGCATATAGCGCAGGGCTCTACTGAATTTATTTTTGGTAATAGGCTAAGGAAGAAAACTAAATCAATATTGCAAGATATACAGTAACTCATCCTTAGCATTCTGTCCTTGAAATGGTCAGTTCGGGGGGGGGGGGGTTGCAGGTTGGTGGTCATTATCAAATTAATGATTGAAATACATCCTAGCCAAATGTATTTTTTTAAAATTTTATTTGTTGACAGGTATTATGTCAATATGATTACATTCTGTGTTTATGCAATAATAATTTATTTTTGTCTTTAATCAATTTTTAGAGTAAGCTATAGCCAATCTTTGAACTTTACCAACAAAGATACAAATATTCATTATCATTACTTGCAGATAATTCCAAAAACCCAGTTGTCCCCACAATTCCTATGCTGTTGATGTTTCATGCCATTTGCAAAGAAGACACGACCTTACCAGCAAGGAGAGACATTCAAGTGGGCTGTATCAGAAGTAATGCAGTTAGCCAGAAAAAGGTAAATATGGAGAAAAAAGAAAAATGTTAGACTTTTAGCCAAGTGGTTGGTTGGTAATCTGAGGCTACAACACCTGTAGCCTTAACATTAATGCTGGTTGTATGTTCATGTTAGAATTAAGTCTTATAAGGACTCAAAATTGATGGCCCAGCATACACATCAACAGTTGATCATATACACTTTAAGAAGGTGAGCGCACTGCATAAGTTGATGGTTATTGGCATGATTTTATTGAGGCATTGATATTGAGATGGAATCATCAGCTTACTATCCCCCGATGCTGTGTGTAGCAGGCTTTGTAGCACTAAGTGCATTTTTGGGAAGGGCAGAAGGTTACCTCCGTGCTCAGATTTACTTCAGCTCCATTAGAGAATGTGACTAAAAGTGTTTCTCTAAAACATCGTCTACACTGTCAAATTTTATGTGACAAATTTGTTTGATATATTACTATGTCCATGTGTAATATTGCATTGTGCCCATATATGGGCATATGGCAGTTTTTTTGGTATCATAAAACTACTTTTATTTTCTCAACAGAATGGTGAATTTTTCTTTGATCAATTGAACCTTGTCACACCTAAAGGTTTTCAAGTTGACATACAGAAGGGCATGGTAGAAGCTGGACAGAGCAAGGCTATCAGTATCACATGGACACCTCCTAAAGGCCATGATGTAAGTAAAAATAAAAGTTTTATAGTTTAAATTTAAAGTACAACAAAACACAGTTTACAAATATTTATTATTAACTTTTGTTTTTATACATTTATTTTGTATTATTTTGTTTATTCTTATAGACTATTCCATTGTTCGAAATTCTTCAATCAAAGTAGTTGACTTGTGACAAATTGGAAACACCAGAAAATTACTGTATAAGACCTTTTAAATTTCAACATGCACCAATACCATTTAGTAGCCCAATATTGATTCATTCATTCAAATTACATTTATTTCTTTCTATAAATTATTATAATATATCAATAGAATATTTCAAAAAGTAAGTAAAAAGAGGAAAATCTACTGGTTGACTCCAATTGACATTTGTGACTTGTGACTGAGATTCCACTCCAAACCACTCAACCTACTATTATTTAACACTCATACAGTAAAGAAACCTATATTAGGCAGGAAAATACAAAAAAAAAATGTTCTGTCCAAACCAAACTAACCAAAAATCTCAAACAATTAGGGCCAGTTTTATTTTTTCAGGAATAATTTTTGATTTCTAGCCAGTTTAAGGCTCTATGCCAAAGATCTTATAAACACAAGATAGCGTTCTCCGGGATTTACGCGTGCAAATTCTGTAATAAGGCATGAATGGCGCCCTCTTGCTAAATTGGAAACTTTTGACCCTTGACCGACGGCGATTTTTTTTTCCGTACGAAACATGCTCTGATCTGACCATACAGTACACAGCCTGTGAACAGCAGAACAGGAACCATCTCAGATCCATGGCAACAGATAGGACGCCCTCTTCCAAAAGTTATTACTTTTTCTCTTCGGTAATAGCGCATGAATGGCGCCCTCTTGCTAAATGGGAAACTTTTGAACCTTGACCGACGCTTCTATTTGTTACGCGTAAATCGCGGAGAACGCTATCTTGTGTTTATAAGATATTTGCTCTATGCACAAGAACATGTGGTGGTATATATATTTTTTTTTTTTGTTGCTTTGCTAAATATTGATGGAACCATCCTACTTCAAACCATCTGAACTAATTTTTTATTTATTTAATCTTTTGCAACACAATACAATTAAACACAAAAAGTACATAGAGAATAAAATGTAAATGTAAATGTAGTGAATAACCTGTGGCTTGCAGCTTTAACTAGGCTGGATTGCACACAGTCGTGGACCAACTCATTCTTGTCAACAACTTTCTTGTCCCCTAAGGGTCACATCATATCCAATCAGCTGGCAAGAGGCGCACTTTCGTCTGTCCACAATGACAGGGGCTGAATGAACCAGTACACTGGGGTAGCCCCTATACTTTTCTTGAAGGATGCACTGGGTTCTTTAAAGTGAACACGAACCAATTGTGTAGACTTGTTCCACCACCAGAACCGTAGGCGAGCATGCCGTTCGAACCAGCGCCGATATTATGGCTATATGTTGTGGTGCCCCCACTTTAAATTCGACTTGAGAGAATAGATAATACAGTACTACCAAATCAACTATCAATTATTATCAAAAAAAGAACATGAAAAAAATCCTAATTACCAAAGCATGTACTGTTGTACTACTTTATTCTATTTTACTATTTACTTTATTCTATTTTTACTTGTCATTTTCATATGTCTACTTTGTTTCCATTGCAGCCCAACATTACAATTGATGGTACCATGTACTTGAACTTAAAAGGAGATGTAGCGGAGAAGTATGAGATTATACTGCGAGCATTGGTAGTGTCAGAATAACTGCTTCAACATTAATGTGAACATTGGTGTTATGGTGTAGCTTACATCATTAGCGGCGAAGTAACTAAAACAATAAAACCTGCAGACTATCAACATTATCAAAAATGTTGTATGCCCATATATAGTCAAGATATGCCTATATATGGCCATGATGTTATGTCATAATAAACATAGGCATGTTGCATGTCTTTGTCAAGTTATATATGAAAGCCTGGAAGGATTATTTTGCATTCCCATGCAGCCTATGAAAATATGCAGGAAGTATTGTTACGGTGTACGCCAATTTCAGATGCATGATAAATGCATAATTTACAGCCTAATGAATTTATTTCTACTCACTAAAGTTAAACATCATAAAGTAATGTTTAATAAACTCTATTGTTTTAAAAGTTTCCAATAAATTCTTTACAATTTTTTTTGTTAAAAGTTTATTTGAAGTGCCCCCGTAGAGGTCTACGAGTTCCTTTTAAAAATCATGACTTGGAAAGTTGTGATCACTGATTTGCTGGGCTCTGCAAGACTTTCCTGGACTTGTAAATTTGTGATTATGGTCTTTACAAGTACACTGGAATGAGGCTTTTATTGGCATTAATTTGGGATATTATAGAGAAACTTGGTTGTTTTTAAACAGCTAAATTTATAACACCAAGCATTAATAGTTGTGGCCGACGGCTACATCGGCATCCTTAGTGTGAGGATAACTGCTTATTACGAGAATTCCCAAAAGCTACATCATAGTCTTTTATTTTTGGAAAAGTGCTTGCATACCTTTTGGGGTAAAGCCTGATGAAAATAACTGATTAAATTACAGAATGTATTGAAACATTCCATCTTGGAACTCATTCATTTAATTTCCTTCTGAAAATACTAATTGTTATGTAAAACATTCTTTAATAATTACTGGGACAACTATAGTTTTTTTTTCAGATGATACAAAACGATCATATTGTCATATTTTACTGTACAATATTTAACCTTTGTTTATACTGTGTTCTACTTGTGTTATACAAGATTTAATATCGCCTGTGTTGTGTATCACTTTTATTATTTTACAAAAAGGGTTAACAATAATAATCTTCTAATTCAAGTGGATGCTGTGTTTAAATATCAAAATTTGGATTGGATTGGACTTTAATCTGTATAGTCCTTGTTGTTACTGTATAATATAATATGTATTTTATGAAAATAATGATAATTTGTAAATATACTGATGAATATTTGTTTTGTGATTGATTTGGCATAGTAATATAATCCTTGTAAAAAAGTGAAGATTTGTTTTTGCAGTTATAGCAATAAACTTGGAAATAGTTTGAGATGAGTACAGGAATTTTTTTTTAAAATTATTATTAGTATAAACATCACGTACATGATGAAAGAAAAAACATTTACGGTACATGTGCTCCAAGAATCCGTTTCTACTGTTAGATTTTAATCAGTTACTTAAACAGCTTTTAAAAACGAGGTTAAATTCATTGATGATATTCAGTGAGTTGTATTTGTAGTACCATGGAGGTATTATTGAGGAGGAGATCACTCGAAAAAGCTACGCGCACGCAGCGCTATGCAAATGAACCAAGAACAATGCTGAACGTTTGCGTGATGCCTTTGAAGTCTGATGTGTTCCTCGCCACCAAATGCTCATCAGGCCTAGGCTACGTTCAGACTTCGAGATAAGCCAGGCTTGAGTTAAGCCCGGCTCAACGTCAAGTCCGGCTTAACTTTGCCGGGCGTTTAGACTAGCGGGATTAGCCAAGCGCGATAATTTGCATAATGAACCGTAACCAGGAAATGTGTTTCAAAACATTGCTCGCGAAACGTATGCACGCTCAAATATAGGCTGTCCAACTTGTCAAGGCGGAGCCTAGGCGAAAGGGGCAGTCCAAATTTCAGTGAATTACTCAGCCATTGCACTTAAGACATGTTCATTTGTTGGTCTTAAATTTGAAACATGCCTAAAAAAGGTCCTTGTCATTTGAAGAATGACAACCATATTTACCAAAAGTGACATAATAATTTTTTTCTTCCTTTCCTTCTTTCTTCCTCTTTATTCCTGCCCACCGTTGTTTTTCCTTCCCCTTTTCGCCCCCTTTTTTTTCTTTTAAACAATTCAAATGACAAAGAGAAATTTAAGTGTGTACTAAATAATAAATAATGATAACATTAAATAATGGCTTAATAACAAACAACTTAATTAAACATAACTACTAAGAGTGAGAAAAACTAAAGTACAGTTTAATTTGTTTGGGAGGGTAATGTAGATAGAATCAAAGATCTATGCATTAATTAAATATTCTTTACAATAGAAATCAAAAATTTGTCCTAACTTTTCTATATACATACCATCAAGCATACGGTGACGTTTAAATTGCTGTGATCCATTTTCATGAAGACTGAATATGTAATATCTCTAATAAAATTTAATTTAGTACAGTCAAATAAGAAGTGTTCTACAGTTTCCTTTAGGTTTAAATCAGTACATAGTTTGCATGTGCCTGTGTTATGATTAGACCATGATTGTTTGCGGCCTTCAAGATCTAACAAGTTGGATTTTGCTTTGAATTTTATACTAATGTATTTGAAGTTTCATTTGTCCAGCAAATACTGTTCAAAGTGTGGATTTCCATTATACATTAAATATTCTGACAATGATGATTTACTTTGAGCTCTAATAAGCCATTTTTTATCATCATTGTTCTTATTTTTCTTTTCTAAATTGCCTGATCTAGCCAGTTGCAGGTTCCTGATTAAACTTATTAATTAAACCGACTTTTGTTAAAGTATCTCTTATATTGGATAACCATTGCCATTTTAAGTTTTTCTGAACATAAAAATTGCTTTGAAAAGTAAATGAGTCCACCTGTTATCTTCCATATTTTTTAGTCTAGGAAAATATTGGACCCTAAAATCATTTTGAATTGAGGTAACAGTTTGCCATCCAAATTCACTGTATAATGCATCTTTAGCAACATTCCTTTGGGCTTTAAGTATAAACCTTGCCATTTGGTATTTCATGTTTTCAATTTTTTCTTGTAATGTTTTTCCATTGCAAAACCAAACTGAGCTTGCGTAATTAAGTAAGTAGGCAATCCAATAGTTTTCCATAGCATGTCCCCGTAATGGAATCTGTTAAAGTCTGCTTGTTCAGTTAGTATTGACCTAATATATGCAATAATGTGGTTGCCCTTTTTGACTACTTCATTTGTGTGTTGTGTATCGGATAATGATCGAGAAATGTGTACTCCGAGATACTGTATTTATAAGCTTCACTTTCAGAAATATAACCATTCCCGAATCGCCATTTCCTATGTACGTTAATTGTTACCCTGTAATTAAAACATTGGATTTTTCATAATTAAAAGCGAGTTTCCATTAATATTAAATTCTCCCGCAGTTTCTAATAGTAAATTCAGGTCTCGTTCATTTATCTGCAAGTAACACATCATCTTCCCAAAAACAGACTGCTTATTTTAACATTAAATATAATTATTATGTTTACACCTTGGTTTTTGTTTTTAATCATAGCATACAATTCATTCATAAATATTGAAAAAGAATGGGAAATCGTGTACAACCTTGTTTTACACCTTCGTCTATATCAAAATATTCAGTTTCCACATCGCCAAATATTACTTTGCATCCTACATCTGTATAAAAGTTCTCAATTATGTTCAACAAGTTTCCTTTAATACAGATTCGGCTTATAGCATTAATAAGACCATCACTCCAAACAGTGTCGAATGCCTTTTTAAAATCTAAAAAAACAAGGTATGTTTTTTCCCTTCAGCTTGCCTTGTTGCAATAATACTTTTAAGAGTGAAGATGTGAACTTCGCAACGTCTGTGATCTTTGCGAAATCCTCCTTGGACTTCACCTAATAAATTGTGTTCCACAAATTCGACACTGTTTGGGCGATAATCCTATTATATACCTTTGAAACACAAGAATTTAAGGTGATACCTCTATAATTATTAAGGTCTTTTATGTCACCTTTTTTAAACAATGGTATAATTATACTTGTATTCCATTCATTGGGTATACATTGCAATTCTGTAAATCTTTTAAACATTTTATATGAAGTTGCAGTCAACTCATTACCACCATTCTTTAACATTTCATTAGTTATTGTGTCTAAGCCTGGGCATTTATTATTTTTAGAGTAGGATGGCATAGCTATATCATTAACATCAAAGTTAAGTTCATAATAGTGTTACTGGAATTATTTTCGCATGATCAATGGCCATACTTAGTGTTAAAATTACTGTCCGAATTATCTGTAAGGTTTTGATGTATTTTTTTCCTAATGTATTATAGTCCATCTTTAGAGATGATTCGATTGTGCTCTTGTCAGTCTGTGACAGTTTTAGTTCCTGGAATTATTATCGAATTCACTTTACTTGTTTGTTTTTTCCTTTCAACATATGCCAAAAATCACGGCATTGGGGGGGGGGGGGAACCCGTTTCCATTAATTTTGAACAATTTTCTACTCTTTTTTGCATGATTTACGTCGTATTAGTGACTTGGATTCTCACTGCGTTTGTTTTGATAGTCATTACAAAGATCATTGATCTAGAGGGTTGTCAACGTTTAGAGTAATGACGATGTGCTCGACACTACGTCGGCCTGAGTACATGTACCGGTCGAGCGGCAGTAGTTTTATTTTATGTAGTTATTTCAGGTTTGAAATTTTGATTAGCTCATATTCAGGGGTGGCGCCAGCAGGGGAAGGCCCCCCGTCGGGGAGAGCTCCCCCCCCCCGTCGGGGAAAGCTTTCCCCCTTACCCCGATCGGGGAGGAAAAGCTCAATTCGTCGGGGAGAAAAAAAAAATGCATGTATTTTCTACATATTAGTATGTACGAAGGGACCCTTAGGGGCAAAGAAAGTCATTGGTCGAGTTCCTAGTCCACATTTCAAGCGCCCTGAGCATCTTACATTAGATGGATATGTGCGCTATATAAAACTACACTATTATTATTATTAGTAGACTCTAAAATCGATTACATATGCCTTTGTAACCCCTAAATTGTCGAAACTTTCGGGGGCTTTGCCCCCGTGACCACTTTCGTAACCTTTTAATCGAAGCTCGACCACGCCCATTTTGGTTTCGTCGGGGGAATCTGACCCCTCGTAGGGTAATGTGAAAAGGTAAATACAAGTAACAACAATTATACTTGAATTTTCATATCAGAATGGGGTATTCTCACAACCTTAATAAAACCCACCACAGGATAAATGAGAATTAGAGAATGATTTCATTAACAAGTTTCATTAATTGCAATGACATTTTTTAAAATGGTTGATCAATATGATTTAGTTTTATTTTATTTATTTAGGCACACACAGCAAATGCACCAAGGATTGTCAATAGAAAATATATCAGTCCTACTTGTAGGTGACAATCCCTTTCACAAGAAAACATAATTTAAATAACCTGGTTTGTTGATTGCCAACCTAATCTACTGACCAATCAGTGCCAGGAATACGCACGTGTCCAAGAAACACACATGTTGTCTCACAAACGCACATGATTACAGTATGTACATTTCGTTATGGTTTTGTGGGACAGTTGCAGAACGGTCCTTTAGTTGAGAATGGTACAAGAACTTGATGGTTCATTAACTGATTAATCTGGTTTAGTTCCTTACCATGATAAAATAATCCTGGTTTGACCATTGATTGCCCTTGAGTAATTAGTTGACATGATTAAAATGAACTTGGATTGATGGTTGTTAAACCTGGTTTATTTTAATTAACATGAAGGATCATTGACGGATAATTGATAATTAGTTAACATGATTACTAAAACTTGGTGTTATGGTTAGTTAACCTAGTTTAGCTAGTTAATGATTAATTAGTTTAATTGATTACAAGATGATTGAAAACCTGGTTAGTACAGTATATATAATACGAGCATGCATTTATGGTTGCAGTTCCCTGCAATTAAGTTTAACTGTAATAAGTCACAACTTGACTGAACAGGTCTACATTAAAGTAAAACTTTATTGATTTCATTTCACATTTAAAAAATGAATACATTAACAATCATATGGATGAAGCACACTCTCGACAAAACCCAACATTAACTGAATTGCTTGTTTTTGACCTTTTGACAGGTTCTGCATCAGAATTCTTTACAATTTCTCATACACATGAAAAACAGGTAACTTGTTAACACAAACAGTTAAAATTTTAAAGTGTTTTAAATTTATAATTTATCTAACACCTGACATTTAAAATGTTGAATATTTACCTTTTGGTATTATTTCAGGTTTGCACATGGAACACTATCAATACTACTGTAATTTCAATTTTCAAATTCCTGTGGTTGAATAACAGAGATAACATAGATATTATTAAAACATTTACCATACTGCTAACTTTTGGCCACTAACATCCCTCACTCAATCAAACAAATGCTGTAATACAATTTTACAAGTACTGTACCATAATGTTCCCTATCCCTCCTAATAGTAAGGGTTGTTTGAGGAGCGAGAAATCAACTCTAGCCGCATTTGCACAAGGGTCTTCTAAACAAATTACCAAATCACGAAAGCTTAAGAATAAAGATGTTCCCAAAATGTATTGGTAAACTGTTTTGACCTTTGGAAATTAATATCTAAGTATTATTAACCAAAGCACAATAATAATACAAAAAACATATTTAAAATGTGTTATAAAAAATAAGCTTTAAAAATGTACAGAAAAGCAATCTTTGAGTTAAAATATTATTATACAAGAAATTTTTTAAAGTTGAAAAATCATAATTTGAAAAAAAGCAACACAGTTCACAATACTTTAATGAACAAACTAACTTAGGAGAAATTGCAGTTTTCAATGTTTTGTATTGCATAAGATAAAAATATATTCATTCACCATAAAACTCTGTTCATGTTAAATTCTATACATTTGGACAATAACAGAGGCTCAAAATTGTTAAAACATTAAATTCTTAAAAGGCATGCCATGTCCTGCTTAGATCTTAGTGTACAGAATACCAAGACTGTAATTATTATCTTGAATCATAGAAATCATCAAACTTAACAAATAACAAACTTAAAATCAACCGTTGAATTTTGTTGGCACAGAAGTTTGCGGCATTTTTACAATCATATATCCTCCGGTCTTTTCAAAATTGCCTGAAAATGTAAAATATAGAATGACTATATTTAGTAAGATAAGGTTGTGACAAACCTGAAAAATATTATAGCATAAATGATTTTAAAAATTAAAAAATGATCAGACAGTAAAACAAACAATTTACATATTTAATAATATTTATATTGACGGAAATAATTATGAAAGTATAATACTGTAAATACTTGAATAAGCCCGCACCAAATGTGTTTTTTTTTTCGCTGAGTGGCGCTTTTTCAAGTTAATAAGCACCTGTGTGCAATGAAACACTTTAGAAATGGTAATAAATACAATGTAGCCTATCCAGTGTTCAAAGAATAATTAACAAAATTAAGACACAAGCATATCTTTATAAATGTTAATTTTACGATGATGTAGGGTCTACGATAGGCCTACTGAACTATGGGAATATGTGAGATAGGTAACATGGGAATAAGCATTCAAAGCGTCGCGCCAATTTTTAAAAATAAGCGACGTTCTCGAATAAGCGCAGCACTGAAGCCTCCAAGAATTTTATAAGCGCCTTGGCGCTTATTCAACTATTTACGGTTTATACTCCAAGTATTGAAATATATGCCATCATGTTGGGATTCAATATTTTGACATTAATTATGTCATCCAAATTGAAATAATTATGAGTAATAGAAAACAGAAGCAGTAAGTAAATTTCAAGATTTTGTACAGTACACTTCCAGATGTAATAATGAAGATGGTAGTCATAAGAATAAGATTTTCTTTTTTTTATATCATTTTTATTGTTATTCCAAATTTAGAATTTGAAATTAGACATTTTGGCTTGTCCCCATGGACCAGTGGTGGCCATAATGCAGTGCTAGAACCACATGTCCCCTGTCCCAATGATTTGGATGATGAGAATTACAATGATGATGCTGTCAATCACTTAATGCTATGAAATATTTTAACTTCTTTTACACATGCATCTTGTTTGTAACTCTTGATTTTGGACAAATAGATGAATGAATGACTGATTAAAAGAGAGAGTAAGTGATTGAAAAAATGAATGAATGAATCAATCAATCAATCAATCCACAATTTTATAAAATTACAATAAAATATAAAAATCTCACCTTAAATTTCAGATCTTGGTCGCCAGCTGTTAAGATAACTTTAACTGTCGAAAACACTTTGACCTCTTGTTTGGTTTCAGCAGCGTTTTTCTCATCTGCTGCCCATACCAAATTTAACTGGGGGCACTTTCCGTTTTTACTAAATTTATAACTCACTTTGTCAGCTATTTCAGTCGCCTGCAAAAAATCATTGATTATACCTCTTTAATTAATTTCATAGTAACAAAAACCAAAAAAAAAAACATTAACCACAGAAGCAGAAATAGAATGCAACATGATAAAACTGTATTTTTCTAAATGGTACTTTTTTTGTTTCCGTTTAATTTTAATCACTTTTTAATGTTTGTGTATGTAATGAATTATCTGGTTTTTTTATGTTCACCGGAGAACCTTTTAGATAGTGATTAAGTTAATCCTCAGGCTTTTCGTTTTTTGATAGTGATTAACTAGGTAATCCTCAGGCTTTTCGTTTTTGCCTTTGGCATTTTTATTGTATTTTGTACTGACTTTGCCCGGAAATAAATAAAACCAAAAATACATAAAATAAATTAAAATAAATAAATTAAATTAAATTTACTTAAAATTCCTATATATCGGTAGCTACCACAAGTGTAGTAAAACACCATAATAACAATCAATAAATAAGGAACATGATAAAAATTAGTCAATGATACTCACGATAACTAATTTCTGACAGTGATAAAAAATATAATTATTTATTTATGTAAATTAAAAGGAGTTTCAATGTCTACTGCTAAGTAATCAAAACCAATCAAAACAAAATTAGAAAATTGACAACTAAAAATATAGACGAAAATATGCAAAAATGTTCAATATTGTTGATAGTACTTACATTGCAGTAGACTCTTTTCACAACACCAATACTTAAAATAAGCACATCTACTGACCTATCGAGGACCGCCATTACCATGCCATTCTCTTCCAATGGTCCACACTCCTAAGAAGTAAAAAAAACAAGAAATGCTTCGAAACTTAACAGTACTGTACATTCTTTAAGGCTTATAACAGTATTCAATATATACTTTTTATCATATGTGGCAAAGACAAGCCAAACCGGTCACTCGTGACAAAAATCAATTTTTAGTTACGAATACAACGTTCAACAGTAAAATGAGAGCTATAAAGTGGTAAAAGAATCACTTAAATCCGACATTTCCTTAAGAAGTTACAAGCTATTAAACATACAGCTGTTTAAAGAACAATATTTGAGAAATCAGCCTTCAAAGTTTATGATTTTGAGGCATTTTCCAGGCAGAAATCATCACCAAATTGTTAAATATTAATGTTTTAACATTGAAAAAGGGGAAAATAACAGCATAGCATGGTGTATAGATATACAAAGGTTGAATTAGTGCAATAAAAAAAAATTTACATTCCAGCATGTTCTGGACAGTATCTCTGATACAGGATTTGCGACAAAAGTGACTGGTTTGGTTTGGCTTGTCTTTGCCCCATGTAGCATAACGTTTAGCAGAAATGTATTATGCAATGATTGGTGGCCAGTTGCCCCTTGATGAGGCATAAGCCAGGCATTTCTCTGTGTCGAACAACGGTCGTACAGTGAATCCTACTACGCTCCCTGTGAGTGATAGACGACGCCGCGTACTTTGCTGATTGTCGTAGGATTGTAGGAACAGATCATCAATAAAAACGATCAGTTGCGCGCACGCGTTGTGGCGCTCCGTTTTTCATAGAACCGCATCAGCCGCTGTGAGTGCCGGCCTTAAAGCTTCTGGATAGTCTTCTTTGGACCCTACTACTACTGAGCAGGGTAGGGGTTAAACTCTTCTTTGGACCCTACTACTGAGCAGGGTAGGGGTTAAACTCTTCTTTGGACCCTACTACTACTGAGCAGGGTAGGGGTTAAACTCTTCTTTGGACCCTACTACTACTGAGCAGGGTAGGGGTTAAACTCTTCTTTGGACCCTACTACTACTGAGCAGGGTAGGGGTTAAACTCTTCTTTGGACCCTACTACTACTGAGCAGGGTAGGGGTTAAACTCTTCTTTGGACCCTACTACTACTGAGCAGGGTAGGGGTTAAACTCTTCTTTGGACCCTACTACTACTGAGCAGGGTAGGGGTTAAACTCTTCTTTGGACCCTACTACTACTGAGCAGGGTAGGGGTTAAACTCTTCTTTGGACCCTACTACTACTGAGCAGGGTAGGGGTTAAACTCTTCTTTGGACCCTACTACTACTGAGCAGGGTAGGGGTTAAACTCTTCTTTGGACCCTACTACTGAGCAGGGTAGGGGTTAAACTCTTCTTTGGACCCTACTACTGAGCAGGGTAGGGGTTAAACTCTTCTTTGGACCCTACTACTGAGCAGGGTAGGGGTTAAACTCTTCTTTGGACCCTACTACTGAGCAGGGTAGGGGTTAAACTCTTCTTTGGACCCTACTACTGAGCAGGGTAGGGGTTAAACTCTTCTTTGGACCCTACTACTGAGCAGGGTAGGGGTTAAACTCTTCTTTGGACCCTACTACTGAGCAGGGTAGGGGTTAAACTCTTCTTTGGACCCTACTACTGAGCAGGGTAGGGGTTAAACTCTTCTTTGGACCCTACTACTGAGCAGGGTAGGGGTTAAACTCTTCTTTGGACCCTACTACTGAGCAGGGTAGGGGTTAAACTCTTCTTTGGACCCTACTACTGAGCAGGGTAGGGGTTAAACTCTTCTTTGGACCCTACTACTGAGCAGGGTAGGGGTTAAACTCTTCTTTGGACCCTACTACTGAGCAGGGTAGGGGTTAAACTCTTCTTTGGACCCTACTACTGAGCAGGGTAGGGGTTAAACTCTTCTTTGGACCCTACTACTGAGCAGGGTAGGGGTTAAACTCTTCTTTGGACCCTACTACTGAGCAGGGTAGGGGTTAAACTCTTCTTTGGACCCTACTACTGAGCAGGGTAGGGGTTAAACTCTTCTTTGGACCCTACTACTGAGCAGGGTAGGGGTTAAACTCTTCTTTGGACCCTACTACTGAGCAGGGTAGGGGTTAAACTCTTCTTTGGACCCTACTACTGAGCAGGGTAGGGGTTAAACTCTTCTTTGGACCCTACTACTGAGCAGGGTAGGGGTTAAACTCTTCTTTGGACCCTACTACTGAGCAGGGTAGGGGTTAAACTCTTCTTTGGACCCTACTACTGAGCAGGGTAGGGGTTAAACTCTTCTTTGGACCCTACTACTGAGCAGGGTAGGGGTTAAACTCTTCTTTGGACCCTACTACTGAGCAGGGTAGGGGTTAAACTCTTCTTTGGACCCTACTACTGAGCAGGGTAGGGGTTAAACTCTTCTTTGGACCCTACTACTGAGCAGGGTAGGGGTTAAACTCCATACCAGCGTTTTGATGTAGTTTTTATAAACATTCTACCCATTAAAGGGCCCTATTCGATATAACAGTATGATAATAATGATTGTTCATTATTGAACAGTTTGTTTTGAAGTTCTCTGTGTGAAAAATTCAATTAAGTGTTAGAATTAAGTGAATTAAAAATTCTAACGGTATCTAATTACATTACCTTAATATAGACTGCTAGAAACATCTCAGCGCTCATTTCTTGCACTTTCTTTGAGGCAGTTTTCCTTTCGTTACAATGCTTGGCTTGCAGCTCAATCACTTGGGCATCTCTTGTGGGTGCAGCTGCAGCATCTACATGGAAATGTGGAAGACACAATGTAATGTCAAATGGCCAAGCGGTTAGCAGGGGCGCCGCAAGCTATAGCCATAATATCAGCGCTGGTTCCAACGGCACTCTCGCCTATGGTTCTGGTGGTAGAACAAGTCTTCTCGGATAAGGACTATAAACCGTAGGCCCAGTTTATACAATAGCTCATGTGCACTATAAAGAACCCAGTACTTCGAGACGAGTAGGGGGATACCCCGGTGTACTGGAACAGACAGCCCCTGTGGTGGACGACAAGAGTTGCTGGTACTGGGTTACCGGGTAGCACAGACACGAAGGGATGAAGAAGGGGTGAAGAAAGTCATCAATCGTGTTCCTAGTCTACATATCAATCGCCCTGAGCATCTTACATTAGATGGATGTGCGCTATAAAAAACTACACTATTATTATAATTACGTAAGTTAATAACTGTTGTGATAAGCTGCAGAAGACCATTTCGGTAAATATTTTTTTATAATAATGCAACATCAACAATAATAATAATGACAATAGCAGCAGGTGAAGTGGTTGGGAGACTCAATAATTAAGAAAGACAAATGGAGGTCAAACATTATCAGCTTAAGTTACATTTACACTAGACAGGATTACGACACGACAACGATATATTGCAGATGATGAAGAATAGAAACTATGCAATGATATTTCGTTGTTGTGTCTAGTGTAAATCTAGCTTTAGATGGATGGATACATGCTAAGCTATGGTGTAAAAATATAATAACATACATTTACATTATCAGCTTAGATGGATACATAAGTTATGGTGTAAAAATATAATAACATACATTTACATTATCAGTAGATAGATGGATACATGATAAGTTATGGTGTAAAAATATAATAACATACATTTTAAATAATCTAATATAAAATGTGATTGGTACAACCGTATAAACTTAGCTAGGCACTTACAAACTGATGCTGCTAACAAACGATGCACAATGATGTCAGCGTAGCGTCTGATTGGTGACGTGAAATGAGTGTAAAAAGGGACATTCAAAGCATAGTGTCTGTACGCATTCTCATCGGGAACAAGACCTGTGCAGAAGTACTTTGCAAGCTGAATGAAGAAAATACAACACCGTGTATGCAAAAGTATGAAAAATGTGAAACAAAAGATATGACTGAACCTCAGAGATTAAATTTTTTTTAAATTTTTCATTTCAATACAATATACAGTGGTTTCTCTGGTATAACATCCACCCCCCCCCCCAAAAAAAACACAACATTGGGCCGATTTTGGAGGTAGTTTTAATTATCTTCTTTTCAATCAAAAGGAATTTTAATCGCTGCATACCTAATTCAGAGACAATATTTGATAAAAGTCAGCTAAGCTATTCATTCAAATTATACCCTGGGCTTTCATCCAAGGAGAGGCTAGTACGTACAACTGAGCGTAAAAAATGGGGTGGGGTTATCCCGAGGTGAGCTTTACACGAGAGGAAAAACAGTATATATTGTAAATAGCACACACATCCAGAAGACGTGCTCGAGGCTTTTTTGCTCTCTAATCAATGGATACAAGATCTTTTATGCACAACTTGCAACCTCCTCCGACCCTCTAGGGAGCATTCCTAGTTATGTGCTGCATATAATTAGTACTACCAATTTCATTCCAAATCATTCACTAGGTACCCATTTATACTCCTAGGCAGGCAGAGGAATGCACAGATAGTGTCTTGCCCAAGGCCACAGCAGTGGCCATTAGCCGGCCAGTCGATGGGTAATTAGGTCAGTCATTTATTTGGTTGATACTTAAACTCACCTGCATTGGTTTTGAACATAAGTTGACTAGAATCTGTGTTCGTGCCTTAGAATATGCGTCTTCACCAGTGTACATTTGTAAAGATTCCTAGACATAACATATATTGAAATATTATTAGTAATCATTGATATTATCTTTATGTAAAAAACTTACAACACATTACACAACTTAAGTAGTTTCAATGGGACTATAGTGTTTGAAAGAGGCAGAGTGACACTTTTGGAAGCAGGGGTGATGTGGAAGTGACAACCGCAGTTGGCAAAAAGCTAGAAATGTACATTCTCATTGTCCCTAAACATGATTAATACATGCAACAAAATTCAGACATATCTCGTAAAAATGTAGAGAATGTCAGAAATCAAAATGAGATGAGGAGAAAGTGTTAATGATGAAAAGCGATGTGTCAAGAATGAGATTCGGTAAATTTAACTACCAAGTTTACATCTCGCAGCTTTTCACTGGGGGGCTTTCAGCGGCTTTATTATTTTTATCATTATCTATTGCAGAAATTAGGGTACACATTTTTTTTAATTTATTAATTTCCATGCTCAAGTTAATAATTTGTATGTTACTGCAAAATTAGCAAGGTAATTTTGAAATCATTTTTTTTATGATTTGTTTTTATTTTACTTTGACAATACATCTTTAAAGACAATAAGTTTTTATTCATGTTTTCTTTATAATATCTTATTGTGTTGTACTTCCTAGTTACATTTTCATTCCGTGTCTGATTTGTTTTTTCTTCAAAAATTATCGTTTTTCTTTTATTTTATTATTTTCATTATCTTTATAGCACAATCTTGTATTGAAATTTCACAAAAGTTACATACTAAATATAAACAAAACATGGTACTAATCAACTCCATTACCTGAACCGAAGAACTGAATAGGCCAAAACTTTTTCAAGGTAATAACGACTTTATATTGTTTTATTAAATTTTAATGCTTCCTTTTATATTACTAGCAGCCTCATTGGGCAGTACGCAAAGATACAGAAGTATTGTAATGGTATAAATCATGATGAATTAAATAGACTGTTTTGCATCAACCTGATTGATAGGCGCCAAAAATAGCTTGAAAAACCTAGGGGTTTTGCAAGGGTTCTTACTCAAAAAAGAGCTTAATGCAATTTATACACTTCAATGATGATAAAATTAAGAAGTAGGTGTGAAAATGGCTAGAGACCTGTATAGTTCCAGCAGTAGTAGCATCTATTGACAAGCCCATCTCAGCACACATGTCCACCAACTGTTCGATCATCTTTTGTTTGGGCTCACTGTGTCGTCGCAGCAACGCTTGCTTTGGGAAACTCTGGTAGATCCTGACAGCAGCGGCCATGTTGGCTAGTAACATGAATTCCTCAACTAGTCTACGCAAACAAACCAATAACATTATTCATATCAATAATGATAACAATTAAAATAATCATTATAACTTTGTAACACTGAGTAAAGCGGGTTGAATACAAGGTTTAATAATAAGTAATTACTATAGTTGCATATCGTAAGTGGAAATTAGTTTAATGGATGAGAATTCCTGAGGGCCTGCAAAGGCACAAAGGAATTAGATGATGTATTTACTTTACGTACTTCAAAGCCGTGAGTCCACAACCACCTCAGCCCCACCATTGTGGTGTAACATAGAAAATAAAACTTAATTGCCTTTGATGTATTTACTTTACTTTATTTACTTCACTTCAACAATTATTTTTCTTAATACAATTTAGGCCGGGGATGCTATCGCACCGTCTGCACCTCCCTGCATCCACCACCGATACTGTAACTGTGTTTGATTAAAACATACCATGAGCTTATTTTAACAGCGCCACTGACCTATTGCTGTCTCTAAGCTGATAAACACTGTACCCAGAGGGCAAACCAGTTTCTTTATCAATCGTAAAAGATAGTTTGACTTGATCCAGCCTTAGAGCACCCTCTTCAAATCGTTTTTGACGAAGACGATTAGCAATCTACAGTAGAAGAGGCCAACAACAGAAGAGATAAGACGAAAATGATTTTGAAAATTGAATAAAATTAGAAAAAATAAATAATTTTGTAAATTTTTTTTTTATTCCTAATATAACTATGATAAATGTGAATTCATCCATGTAGCTTTCATATTTTTGGCACAACAAAATAAAAGATAACCAGCATCCTGATTTCCAATGCACTTCTCATATACTTCGTGAATCATATGCCTACCAGGGTAGGGCGCCGCCAGCGTTCCAGATAGGCCAATGTAAACATTGCAAGGTTTCTATTAATCATAAGTTTACATTTTTTTCACAATACCTTCTGCAAGTTTAATACGCTTCTTTTAACATCCTCAACACCATACCGATTGGAAATTTCAGGTAACTCGCCATCTGCAAACTCCTTATCTGGATGCTCTATCATATCCTGAGCATGGGCATAACTCAGCTTCACACATGACCGAATCACAGTCCGACCACACCACTCATTTTCAATCTAATAGAACAAATCAAAAGGACTATAATGTTACTTTACATGATATCACTTATAAATTTAGGCAATGGTTATTGTTAGACCAGTCTTAAACAGATTTTTAATTCTGATTGGATGTTAAATTGAATGTATGGATTAGAGTAAGCCAATAAAATGCGATAAAAAAAATGTCTGTGCTAAAAATCTCCCAAAAACATTCAATTAAAACACTGCATATATAACATGTAGAAGCAAATAATCTATCCAAATAAACGTTAGGATGGCCAATGCCTAATATTTTGGTCTGACAATACGATTTGGGCCATACTAAGCCATAAAAACTCTCCGTGTGAACACTACCATGGATTTTATATTCCGGGACCCTGACCGAAGCTCTAGTCGACCCCTCGGTTCAGACCCTCAGTGGGACATGTCGGACACCTCTCAGAAAATTTTTGGGAACATCACTGGTCATACTTGGCATGATGCGCTATCTAATATACCAGAATTTTATATAAAAGAACCAAATACAGTAATGTATTGATTTTACTCTAAATCCAGTCCATTATAATCCTGCAAAGGCAAAGCTTCCCCTTTCATCACTTCAACAAGAATGAATTTCTGACAGATACACAACTACAATTAACTCCCCTTTACAGTATTAATTACATAATAGTTAGTGTAATATTATAGACAGACTGTTGTGAAAACAATAGCTTACAATTCCATCTGGAGTTAGTGTCCAAATAAAAGAAAATGCTAATCGATCTTGGTACGGATTTAAGCTACACAATTTCTCGCACAATAATCTGGGAAGCATAGGAATTACCTGAAGTCAAAATGAGAAAGAAATTTTTTTTAAAGATAAATAATTAACACTCTGCCCGCCAAACACGAAGATCTCCGTGTTTCGTAACACAACTCTTGACCGCCAAACATGGAGATCTCTGTGTTTCAGGTTTTTTTACGGAATTCGATAGATGTGGGTACAGTAATTACTGACATGTACTAACAATTTGAACACTATATTCAGTCTGGACCATACGTATTTCACTATTTGTTTGTTTACATTAGTGTAGAGCGGTATTGATTTACTTTCACGAGATCGCGATTATCTCAGCTTGCAAAATTGCTTATATCTCCAAAAGTGAGTCATTTTCATTTTACTGTTACAGGTCACAGATTGTGATTAGAATAAAGTGTTTGGTACCATTGTAAAGCTAAGATATTTGTAGTTCTTGTAGCATTCACTACATGTCTATCTGATCACATACACACTCGCAATGAGCTTGGGAAAAAAATTTGCTAAAAAATCTGGCGGTGGCTGATACTATTTTATCAAACCCCTGGCGGTCAGAGTGCTAAGAAGGATAAAGAGAATACCAAGAGAACATACTGTAAAAATAGGAGGAAATATTAATGAATGGAATGTGCAAAAAAAAAACAATGAAAAAAAATATAAATATGTCAGTAAGTTTGTAAATTAGGTATTGGCTATAGAATTCTCAATTTATAACCGAGTAAAAAATATAGCTGTACTGCTACATTCCGTCCCATTATCAGTGGATCTCACCAGGCAATGAAGCTAGGAGCTAGATATTCAAGCCTGAATAGCGTTGCAAACAATATTTAGCTCCCAGCTTCAAAGCCTATTGAAAATTCATTGATGGTGGAATGAAAGGTAGCAGTATGTACAGCATATATTTTTTATTTTAAAGTTCAACACGAAAACACCCTAAACTTTAAAAATATAATTACTCAACTTCAACACCTATAACTTTGGCTATTCTTCTTGCTTCTTATACTGAAGACCCCAGTTTATCCATGGTTGGGTTTTTTTAAATTAATGTTCAATCACTTTGATCGTCAAATATTACCCTTGCAAAATAAGGGACAATGTAATCATTACACGTTGGTACTAGCACGGCATTACAACTGCCTAGGGCAACTAGAACCCCAGCCAAAATTTTGTCACGGAATGTCCTCCTCCGAGTACAGTTCTGTACAAAGTTTAAAGCAGTAGTTGAAAGCTTGCTCGTTATGCTTTAACGCTTTTAACTCACACAGACCCCCACCCAACACGATGAAAAAGGTTGGGATGCTGTGTAAGATGCTGCCTGATTTGACCTTTACCTTCTGCACAAGGTAGACACTTGTAGCTCTTTGACTTGCTACTTCATCAAGGGCACATTTTTCAGGTATAAAATAGCTAACGTCTGCGATATGTACTCCAACTTCAAAGTTACCTGCAAATTGATGAAATAAAGAGAACTTCAAATATTAATATATTTTTTTAATTACTCTCCCAATTTCACAGTGAATCTTTTTAAATGCTGACAATTATATTTAACTAACTTTCTGTGTATCTTGATATAATTTTTGATTTTTTACTCATATGTAACAAGGAAAACAAATCTCATGACATCGTTATGACAATTAAAGAACAATCTGAATCTGATTTAAATTGTTTAAATTGACATGTGTTTAAAAACCTGAATAAAAGCCCAATTAGCCTAATCTGGAGAAGAGGCCCATCTAGAATTGAAGCCCTCCTCTTTAGTTTGCAAAAATAGCCTGAAAAAGAAGCCTGTCTCGAAAAAGATAACATGAGATTCTTTTTGGGATAGCATAGTACATAGACTGTACAACTTACAAGAAACAAAATAAATTAAAAACACGCTTGGTTCAATCACACAGTAGCTTAGGTGATTTAAAGTCAAGCGCCGGAGGAAAAAAATGTTTTCATATGTTGTAGTTAACTGATTTTTTATAAGACAGAAAAAAATTGTTTGACGAAAAACTGGGAAAGGTAAATGAGACACAGATTTTTGAATAATTAAAAACTGGGGGAAAAGGGGTGTTTTTACACCTTTTTCCCCAAATTTATAAATATTTAAAAATCTGTATCAAAAAAGGCCATCTCAAAAAGAAGCCCATCTTGAAAAGAAGCTCATCCAAAGTTCACAAAAGTAAGAAAAAAAAAAGATTCCCCGGGCGCGAATTTTTTTTTTTCGTGAAGAGCCAAGCATAGGGAAACATATAAAGCGCTCTGATTGGCTAATAAAAAGATGACATCATCGCACTTTCAACCTGATTTCAGTGCTGTGTGCGAAGTGATTGATTCATCCATCCCAAGAAGACTAAAAATGTTTAAACATCACGCGCAATCTCGAGACAACTGTAAAGATGGATCATCACGAAAAAACAGTTTGCGGTCCTCTTTTGCAGAGTTGTGAAGTATGCAAGTTTAACTCGCCAACTGAAGACTACCACTTTCTCGGAGTAAAGGTTTAAGTATTTATAATTATAATATTATTTCTAAATCAAGGAGATGACTAAAGGAGAAGGTGTGTTGTGTCTGTACCCACCCTCCACATCATAAATACTGTACTAGAGATATAGGGATGTATAGTGGTAGGCCTAGTCTAGTGGCCTAGCTAGTTTATTTTATAGCAGTGTAGCTGGTATATAGTAGAATAGTAGCCTAATAATAATAATAATAATAATAAGAATAATAATAATAATAATAATAATAATAATAATAATAATAATAATATAATAATGACAATCAATAGTAATGAGAATAGAAATAATAAAAATGATAACAGGGGTCTAATAATAATAATAATAATAATACTAATATAATGAAAATAATAATAAATAATTAAAATAAAAAGGATAATAATACTTATTATTATTACTAGGCCTATGTTACACTTTTTCTTTAAAATAACCAGTAAAATTTTGCCCTCGCTCAGTGTTCTTACGTTTTGGATGATTTTAGGTTCAAAATCTACACTTTTCAAACAAACATCAACAATTATTATTTTACAGCTATATATTACTTTACTCTACTATAAAGGGTATTATTATATTCACACCTACTGAAAATAAGGCCTACAGATAAATTTGTTGGTTTTTCTTTACAAAAAATAAATTTAAACCACATTTGACATTTTAACTCAGCCAGACTAGGTCTAGACTAGGCCTATGGACCTATAAAATATATTAAAATTATTACTACTGTATTTGTAAGTCTGTTATTAGTTGTTTCGGAATATGCATACTCAAATTGTTCTAAATAATACCCAGTACGTCATTAGTTTTTCACCGCTCATCGTGGGTAATCTGCAATGCCAGTTTTGACACATGATGTCATATGCACATTGTGGCACTTCATTGGGTGATGGTGACGTAATGCTATTTAGTGTATAAGAGACAGATCACACAGTAGCTTAGGTGATTTAAAGTCAAGCGCCGGAGGAAAAAAATGTTTTCATATGTTGTAGTTAACTGATTTTTTATAAGACAGAAAAAAATTGTTTGACGAAAAACTGGGAAAGGTAAATGAGACACAGATTTTTGAATAATTAAAAACTGGGGGAAAAGGGGTGTTTTTACACCTTTTTCCCCAAATTTATAAATATGTA